CATATTCAGGTCTCAGCTCTGACATATGTATTCAGCTGCAGACAAGACCCAGAAGATGTCCCCCTCGTTTTGCATGTCCTGGATGTCAAGGAAACGGAGCTACACAGAACCCAGCCCCTGCCTGGTGCTTCTGGCTCTGCACGGAGCCTCTCGGGGGCACCGGTGTTGCTCAGGTCTTAGGTGCTATGCAGCCACTTCCTGGCAACATCACGTGGTGCCCCGGACCCGTGTGGGCTTAGAATGTCCCCGATGCCTGTCTGAAATCCATAGCAGCTTCCCATTGGGTGAGAAGCTAAAAATCCCCCTGGCCCCCCGCCCCGTGACTAGGTACTTTCCTGTTATTAAACAAGCTGCAAGTGACTCTGCTCTTGAGATGGAAAAATGCAAGAGAAATACAGCACAGAGAAAACATCCAGGCTAGGGCAAAGACCAGAGGGAGGTGTCTTATCAAGACTCATACGCTGGGAGTTACATAAGGGCAGTCAGTGTCATGTTCCAGAGTCCAGGGATGGGCAAATTTTTTTCTGGAAGGGACCATGGGTCATTATTTTGGCTTTGGGGCCTGATGTTCTCTGTCCCAACTGCTCTGTTTAGCTGTTATAGCCCCAAAGCAGTTTAGATGGTATGTAAATGAATGGGTATGGCCATGTGCCAATAAAACTTTATTAGCAAAACCAGGTGGAGGGCCGGATCTGGCCAACCATTGCTGGTGAGAACCAGCATGCACACAGGACATCTAGAAACACAGCTATGACTGCATATGGCTCAAGTTCTGGTCTGAGGGCCATGGTTTGCCTCCCAGGCTGGCTTGTGCCATAGTTGGCCTCATGTGACAATCACAGGCACTGCCTGGGTTCCATTCTAGTGCTTCAGGGACAGGAATAGCCCACCCATGCCAGCTGTTTCCAAGGACCTCTCCCATTTGTGTTTCGGGGTCAGGCACCCCGTGAGCGCCTGGGCAGCACTCACCTCGCTGAGGCTGTAGGGAAGGATGAGCTTGTCGTTGACGGTCACTGTTTTTCTTTTGGTTAGAACCTCCACCAAGATTTCCCGCTTCACCTGTTTGGAGATCAAGGAGGGGGAGAAGGAAAAGGGAGATGGAGGGCTTATCAGGCATGTCCTGGTGTCACTGAGGCAAGGCCTGGAGCCTGAGGCAGCTAGGAGATGGAGTCCCAGCAGCCAGGCCTGGAAGTGAGCTCTGAGGCCCACCCACCCACCTGTGATGTGCTGGGTTTTGTTATTTTTTTTTTGAGATGGTGATGGAGTCTCACTCTATCACCCAGGCTGGAGTGCAGTGGCATAATCTTGGCTCACTGCAACCTCCGCCTCCCAGGTTCAAGTGATTCTTCTGCCTCAGCCTCCCCAGTAGCAGGCACGCACCACCACATCCGGCTAATTTTTATATTTTTAATAGAGATGGGCTTTCTCTATGTTGGTCAGGCTAGTCTTGAACTCCTGACCTTAAGTGATCTGCCCGCTTTGGCCTCCTAAAGTGCTGGGATTACCGGCGTGAGCCACCGCGCCCGGCCTGAGATGGGCTGTTCTGCACTTGGCAGGTTTCAGAATTCCCACATGGCATAGGCTCGCTGGATGCTCAGGCTCTGTGGCCCCGGTGTGTGCATGCACAGTTCTCATGTGAGTGCAGGCTGTGGGTCCGGGTGGCGCCTGGTGACCAGCACTCACTGCCTTGCCTGTTGGAGCTGGTGGTTCCCATCCGTCGCACAGGGACTGGGGCTAGACATTAGCCAGACAGCCCAACACGCTCATCCCTCCCCCAACTGCCAAGCTCCCTTTCTGAGCTGGTGGTCTCTGCCCATCAGCAGCAAGAGTGGGGGATGAGTGGGGGCTTTCGCTCTCTCTTTTTTTTTTTTGAGATGCAGTCTTGTGTCACCAGGCTGGAGTGCAATGGCATGATCTCGGCTCACTGCAACCGTCTCCTGGGTTCAAGCAATTTTCCTGTCTTGGCCTCCCAAGTAGATGAGACTACACGTGCGTGCCACCACACCTGGCTAATTTTTGTATTTTTAGTAGAAACGGGGTTTCTCCATATTGGTCAGGCTGGGCTCGAACTCCTAACCTCAGGTGATCCACCCGCCTTGGCCTTCCAAGGTGCTGGGATTACAGGTGTGAGCCACCGCACCTGGCCAGCAGGGGCTTTCTCTAAATATCCCAGCAGATGCTCATATATCCCCAAGAACTCAACAAAAGCTGGGGCTCTTGTACCCTACTTTAAGAAAAGCTACAGGTGGAACGCATGCTTAATTTATGCCTGAGGTTGCAATTTTTTTTGACTTTTTGCAATCAGACCTTGGTGAGGACCTTGAGCAAGAGGATGTAACTCCCACAGACTTAGTGTTCCAATAATGGAACACTAGGCATAAATGGATTAAAAAATACCATGGCAGGGCTCCTCAGCCTCACTGCCATTTGTACTTGGAGCTGGATAATTCTCTGCCATGGCGGGGCTGTCCTGTGCACTGCAGGGTGTTGGGCAGCATCCCTGGCCTCTGCCTAGCAGATGCCAGGAGCAGCCCAGAGTATGGCAAGCAGACATTGCCTGGTGTGTCCTGGGGGCAGAACTGCCCTTGGCTGAGAACCAGTGGAGTAGGGGACGGCAGGTCCAAGAGAAAATGACTTCACTGATCAAACTGGAATTTTTTGTTTTTTGAGGGACAGGGCCTTGCTCTGTCACTCACTCAGGCTGCAGTGCAGTGGCATGATCAGAGCTCACGGCAGCAATGAGCTCCTGGGCTCTAGCAATCTTCCTGCCTTGGCCTCCTGGGTGGCTGGGATTACAGGAGCACACCACCAAGAGCTGCCTGATTTTTAAATTTTTTTGTAGAGATCAACAGATACTATGCTGTCCAGGCTAGTCTGGAACTCCTAGCCTCAAGCGATCCTCCTGCCTCAGTCTCCCAAGTAGCTGGGATTTCAAGGATGAGCCACTGCACCCAGCCCCAAGCTGTAGTTTTTTTGAGACAGAGTCTTGCTCTGTCACCCAGGCTGGAGCGCAGTGGTGAGATCTTGGCTCACTGCAGCCTCCGCCTCCCAGGTTCAAGCAATTCTCACGCCTCAGCTTCCTGAGTAGCTGGGCCTATAGGCGCGCACCACCACACCTGGCTAATTGCTTTTTGTATTTTCAGTACAGACGGGGTTTCACCATGTTGGCCAGTCTGGTCTCAAACTCCTGACCTCAGGTGATCTGCCCGCCTCAGCCTCCCAAAGTGCTGGGATTACAGGCGTGTCACCACACCCGGCCTGCTGTAGTTTTAAAGAGGCTTTCACTTGAGGGTGGGAGGAGGAGGTGCCCTGTCCACAGAGTTTGTCAGAAATGAGGAAGGAACACGGTGGAGATGATAGCGTGGGACGTGAGGACCTGGCTGATGAAACCTCAGCCGATGTAGGAAGTTCTGGGTGTCATCCCTCATATTGAGAGGTACCCAGAGGCATATTGAGAGTCAGCCTGAGGAGGGACAGAGGTGGCAAACGGTACCTTCAGAAGCTGGGACAGGGTGTCCAGCACCTCGGGCGGCCCGACCTCCAACCCTTCCTCTCGGCCTGTGGCTCTCTTCTTGTAAGTGACGTTGCCCAGGTACAGGATGGCCGAGAGGACAGCAAAAATCCTGGGAAGGAAAAGGCACTCACATTTGGGCAGCTTCTACATTCCTAAGACAGCAGACACTTCCAGGGAACTGGGCCGAATCCATACGGCCAGCCGATTCTGGTAGGAGCGCATGAAGGTGGAAAGGTGTCTAAGGCCTCTCTTGAGGACTGCCTCTCTGGAATGTGACTTTGCAGACAGTTCTCTTTTTTTTGAGACTGGGTCTGGCTCTGTCGCCCAGGTTGGAGTGCAGTGACACAATCATAGCTCACCGTAACCTCTAACTCCTGGGCTCAAGTGATTCTACTGCCTCAGCCTCCTAAGTAGTTGGGACTACAGGCTACTACACTTAGCTCATTTAAAAACATATTTTTAAAGGGACGGGGTCTTGCTGTGTTGCCCAGGCTGGTCTCAAACTCCTGGCCTCAGGTGATCCTCCTGCCTTGGCCTCCTGAATAGCTGGGATTATAGGCCTGAACCACCACACCTGGCTAGATAGCTATTTTCTTTTTTTTTTTTTTTGAAACAGAGTCTCACTCTGTCACCCAGGCTGGAGTGCAGTGGCACGATCACAGCTCACTGCAGCCTCAACCTCCCTGGGCTCAGGTGATCCTCCTACCTCAACCTCCTGGGCAGCTGGGACTACAGGTTTGCACCACCATACCTGGCTAGTGAAACTCTGTCTCAAAAAAGAAAAAAGTGTACAGATCCCTCTAGCCCCCAGACCAAGAAATAGAACATTCCAGGTCCTGGATCCTGGAGCCCCCCAAGCCCAGAGGAAGCATGGTCTTGACATGTAATGCTGCCTATGAACTTGATGGGAATGAAACTGTAGGTACTTGTGTCTGGCCAGTCGCTGGCTATGTTGTCCAGGCTAGAGTCCATTGGCTATTCAGAGGTGCCGTCTTTTTATTTATTTTTGAGACAGAGTGTCACTCTGTCACCCAGGCTGGAGTTCAGTGGCACTGTGGCCTCCGCCTTCTAGGTTCAAGGGATTCTTGTGCCTCAGCCTCCTGCGTAGCTGGGATTACAGGCGTGCACCATCATGCCCGGCTAAATTGTATTTTTACTAGTGATGGGGTTTCTCTATGTTGGTCAGGCTGGTCTTGAACTCCCGACCTCAGATGATCCTCCCGCCTCAGCCTCCCAAAGTGCTGGGATTACAGGCATGAGCCACCACACCCGGCTGGCAAACCATTTTTAAGGGTACAGTTCCGCAGTGTTAAGAATGTTCACGTTACCTTTAATTGGCATCACCCAATGACCAATGGCTTGAGGCCCTTCTCATGTGCTCACTGCTATTGGGCCACATTCTGTAGGGCAGCTCTGTTCAGGACACTGCTTGCCCGTTTTCACTGGGTTGTGGATTGTACTACAGAGTGACTGGCAAGGGCCACGCATGCTCCCTGTAGGCTTGGGGGGACGGGCCGGGGGCCACATACTTACTGCTTCTTGGTGGCGGGGAGGAAGCCCACCATCTCCATGGCCTGCTTGAGCCTCTCAAAGTCATGCTTCAGGTCCTCCCCATCTTCAATCTTCAAGTTATGCTGGAAAACAAAGGCGTCAGGGCATTCCTGCGCTGGTGAGGGTGGCGTGCCAGAGTGATTTTGGCTGGAGCTGGCGGGGCAGGGCCCCAGGACCAGGGGAATGAATGGGTTCTTTTAATGCTGCCTTCTGGGAGTGGGTTTGGGGGCCAGGGCAGGCTGCCTCTGACTTCCCGGCTGTGCATAAACAGCTTGAGGCTGGGAACAGAGGTGCCATTTGTGGCTGGGGCTCGAGGCTGTTTACCTGGTTGAGGTAGAAATAATCTTCAGGCTGCTTAAGCTGAAATTCTCGGCGTTCTTCCTCACTGACCCCGAGTAACAAATAATAAAACACGTGGTAGTTCCTGCAGGTCAAAATTGGGAGGAAAACAGTCGTTCTTGGAGGCCAAGCAATAGCTACTCTGCAAAGCGCTACTAACACGGCTTTGGAGAACACACCTCAAATATGCACAAACTTAAAACAGTAAGTCACTTCTTACTATGTCTTAAAAAAACAAAACAAATAAATGTCTTGAGCGAATAGGTTTCTGGAGGATTGGAGGCGGGTAGGTGTCCGTCTCACTTATTTGTCAATCAGAAACGTTTCTTTTTTCTTTTGAGACGGAGTCTTACTCTATTGCCCAGGCTGGAGTGCAGTGGGGCGATCTCGGTTCACTGCAACCTCTGCCTTTGGGGTTCAAGTTCAAGTGATTCTCCTGCCTCAGCCTCCTGAGAAGCCAGGATTACAGGCGCTCACCACCACACCCAGCTCATTTTTGTATTTTAGTAGAGATGGGGTTTCACTATGTCGGGCAGGCTGGTCTTGAACACCTGACCTCGTGATCTGCCCACCTTGGCCTCTGAAAGTGCCGGGATTACAGGCATGAGCCACCGCGCCCGCCCACCCCCCCAACTTCTTTTTGAAATGGAGTCTTGCTCCCTCGCCCAGGCTGGAGTGCAATGGTGCGATCTTGGCACACACAACTTCCACCTCCTGGGTTCAAGTGATTCTCCTGCTTCAGCCTCCCAGGTAGCTGGGATTATAGGCGTGAGCCACCATACCCAGCTAGTTTTTTGTATTTTTAGTAGAGATGAGGTTTTACCATGTTGTTCAGACTGGTCTCAAACTCCTGACCTCGTGATCCGCCTGCCTCAGCCTCCCAAAGTGCTGGGATTACAGGCGTGAGCCATGGTGCCCAGCTAATCAGAAATGTTTCTAATCTTTTTTTTTTTTTTTTTCTTAAGAAAGGGTTTTGCTGTGTTGCTCAGGCTGGAGTGCAGAGGTGCGATCACAGCTCACTGCAGTCTTGACCTCCTGGGTTCAAGTGATCCTCCCAGCTCAGCCTCCTGAGTAGCTGGGACTACAGTTGTTTGTCACTATGCCCAGCTAATTTTTTTTGGTCTTCTTTGTAGAGATGGGGTTTCACCATGTTGCCCAGGGTGGTCTTGAACTCCTGGGTTCATGTGATCCTCCCGCCTAGGCCTCCCAAAGTGCTGGGATTATAGGCATGAGTCACTGCTCCAGGCCTGTTCTTTTTTTTTTTCTTAAAGAGACAAGACTCTATCCGGGCACGGTGGCGTACGCATGTAATCCCAGCTGCTCGGGAGGTTAAGGCACGAGAATCGCTTGAACCCAGGAGGCGGGGATGGCAGTGAGCTGGGATCAAGACTCTGACACAAAACAAAAACAAAAAGCCCAACCAACCAAACAAACAAAAATAAAGAGAGAAGGACTCGCCCTATTGCCCAGGCTGAAGCGTAGCATCTAGCTCACTGCAGCCTCAACCTCCTGGGCTCAGGTGATCCTGTCTGCCTAGGCCTCCTCAATAGCTGGGATGATAGGCACAGGTGCAGGCCACCATGCCTGAGAAAAGTTTCCAATCTAACTATACATTGTGCAGACATCTGAGCACCTACTGGGGACAAAACCTCCGGGGAGGCACACAAAGGTGGCTTGGGAGGTATGAGGACAAAGTGTGAGGCCACGGGGCAGATCTGGGGAGAAGACGGATGGGCAGGCCCGCTCCTGTGAGAGCCTCCATGGCCTCCTGCAAAGTTCTTCTGAGCTCAGGACATTTCTGTTGCTTCCCTCCTCTGTAGGAGGAATTACAGACGTGACATGGCATTCAGAGATCCCTGAGGAAACGTTCTCCTACCTCTCGTCCTTCTCCTGAGATACCAGGCGAGACTTTTCAAGCAGATATTTTTCGACAACAGCTCTGTCATTAAGAGAAAAAGAGAAAGAATAGAATGTTAAGTTGTAGTATTGTGTTATTATTATTTTTTTTGAGATGGAATCTTGCTCTGTTGTCCAGGCTGGAGTGCAATGGCACGATTTCCGCTCATTGCAACCTCCGCCTCTTGGGTTTAAGCGACTCTCCTGCTTCAGCCTCCTGAGTAGCTGGGATTACAGGCATGTGCCATCATGCCCGGCTAATTTTGTATTTTTAGTAGGGATGGGATTTCTTTATGTTGGTCAGGTTGGTATCGAAATCCTGACCTCAGGTGATCCACCTGCCTCAGCTTCCCAAAGTGCTGGAATTACAGGTGTGAGCCATTGCACCCGGCATTGGTTTTAAGACAGGGTCTCACTCTGTTGTGCAGGCTGGAGTGCAGCGGCATGATTATAACTCAATGAAGCCTCGACCTCCCAGGCTCAAGTGATCCTCCCACCTCAGCCTCCCAAGTAGCTGGGACTACAGGCTAATTTTTTTAGTTTTTGTAGAGATGGGGTTTCATCATGTTGCCCAGGCTAGTCTGTAATTCCTGGCGTCAAGTGATCTGCCTGCCTCGGTCTCCTGAAGTGTTGGGATTATAGGCGTGAGCCATGCATCTGGCCTGTCACTGTGGTTTGGATTTGCACTTCCCTGGTGACTGATGATGCTGAACATCTGCTCACGTGCTTACTGGTCATTCATAGCTCTTCTCTGATGAAGTACCCATTGACGTCTTTTGCGGTTTTCTTACTGGGGTCTTGGTACTATTATTGAGCTGTAAATGCTCTTTCTATATTCTAGACGCAAGTCCTTTGCTGGTTCTGATCTGCAGGTACCTTCTCTGGATCTGGGGCTTCAATTTTTTTACAGAAATCACAGGGGTCTGTGATGCCCATCAATACTTGGTTGTATCTATAATGGTCTGGTGTTCTGCTGTTTACTGATCATTTTCTTTTTTTTTGAGATGGAGTTTTGCTCTCTTGTCACCCAGGCTGGCGTGCACTGGCATGATCTCGGCTCACTGCAACCTCCGCCTCCCAGGTTCAAGCAATTCTTCTGCCTCAGCCTCCCAAGTAACTGGGACTACAGGTGCATGCCAACAAGCCTGGCTACTTTTTGTATTTTTAGTAGAGATGGGGTTTCACCGTGCTGGCCAGGCTGGTCTCTACATTTTGACTCATGATCTGCTCACCTCAGCCTCCCAAAGTGCTGGGACTACAGGCGTGAACTACTGCTCCCGGCTGTTTTCATTACGCCAAGCAGTTAAGGTGTTTCCTCCAAGTTAAGTTTTCAGAGGCCCCTCGGAAGGCACGTGGCATCATGTGGGACCTTGAGTCTAAGGCTGCCAGTGCAGGGGACTAGGGTGTCTCTGCAGCCCCAAATATCTCTCAATGCTAAAAGCAGTGGCAGTGAATGGTTTTTTGAGGACATATATGTTGTACGCATCGTTTTATGTATTTCTCAGGGACTCCTCTTACATGCTGGGGCAGGCGCTGAGGCCAGCATGGCGGCTCCTGAGGAGTGGACAAGGAACCGAGGCTTGGAGAGACTGTGCTGCCCAGGGCCCCATGGGAAGGGGGTGGCCTGGTGGGATCCTTTCACACCAGCTGGGGCTGGCTGAGTCTGGTGGGGCCGGTCTATCATGGGGGTCCGCCATCACCAGATGTGTGAGCTCACTGGGGCCTCCAGATCAGTCTCATCTGAGCCCATCCTATCATGCAGGAGACCTGGCTGGTACCCAAGGGGTGGCAGAGCCAGGGGGCAGCACAAGGGACCCAATCCAGGGCCTGCTGAATGCCACCTGCCTGTCTCCAGGACAGCAGTCTTTTTTTTTTTTTTTTGAGACAGAGTCTCACTCTATTGTCCAAGCTGGAGTGCAGTGGCACAATCTTGGCTCACTGCAATCTCCGCCTCCTGGGTTCAAGCAGCTCTCCTGCCTCAGCCTCCTAAGTAGCTGGGATTACAGGCATACACCACCACGCCCAGCTAATGTAATTTTAGTAGAGATGGGGTTTCACCACATTGGGCAGGCTGGTCTTGAACTCCTGGGCTCAAGAGATCTACCTGCCTCAGTCTCCCGAAATGCTGGGATTATAGGCATGAGCCACCACGCCTGGCCCAGGACAGCAGTCTTTCATCTGCTGGCTTACACAGGGACACACAACATGCACAGGTGGGTTTGGATGGCCTGGCCTGGGGCCTCTCTTCTTTCAAATAAGAGAAAAAGCGTTTCCTTGTATTCCTTCCCCGGGCTAGTAACCATTCAGTTTCGGCGCCTTCCTGTAGTCTGCATTCCTGGGGAGGGAGGCTGTGTCTGGTTCTAGAAGGAGACTCATGTTTCAATCTCGGCCTGTGGCTGATTCCCTGGGCTGCTTCTGAGGGTCTGGCAGAGGATGTGGCCCCACGGTGGCAGGATGGCAAGCCAGTAATGGGTGTCGGTACTGAAACGTCGCCTGACCAATGATGGCTCCTTCCCTTCCCCAATCATTTTCTTTTTTTTTTTGGAGACCGAGTTTCACCCTTGTTGTCCAGGCTGGAGTGCAATGGCGCGATTTCGGCTCACCGCAACCTCTGCCTTCTGGGTTCAAGCAATTCTCCTGCCTCAGCCTCCCAAGTAGTTGAGACTACAGGCACGCACCATACACCCACCAGTGGGGACATAAGGGACACCGACTCACCCTCTCACGATGCCACTCTCTAGGTAGCTGACTTGGATGAATTTCCCAAACCGGCTGGAGTTGTTGTTGTGGGCCGTCTTGGCGTTTCCAAAAGCCTGCAAGGGAATCAAAAGCAGCTTTTCAGATCATGACGATGGAATTTCTTTTTTTTCCCTCTCATTTTATACTGTGCTTTTACTTTTACTTTTATTTTGAATTTTTCAATTTATCTATTTTTTCTTTTTTTTTCATTTGGCCATAGTCTCACTCGGTCGCCTGGGCTGGAGTGCAGTGTTGCGATATCGGCTCACTGCAACCTCTGCCTCGCGGGTTCAAGCAATTCTCATGCCTCAGCTTCCTGGGTAGCTGGGACTACAGACGTGCACTACCAAGCTATTTTAGTAGATATGGGGTTTCACCATGTCGTCCAGGTTGGTCTCGAACTCCTGAGCTCAGGCAATCTGCCTGCCTCAGCCTCCCAAAGCGCATGAGCCGCTGTGCCCGGTCTCTGTTTTTTCTTTAACAGTTCCTGCAAAGCAATGCTACCCAGTAAGCAGAGGGTAGCCCATTTTCTTTTTCTTGAGACAGAGTCACACAACATCCCCCGGGCTGGAGTGCAACCTCTGCCTCTTGGGCTGAAGCAATCCTCCCACCTCAGCTTCCCGAGTAGCTGGGACTGGAGGAGTGCGCCACCACACCTGGCTAATTTTTTTTAGAGATGGGGTTTTGCCATGTTGCCAGGCTGGTATGGAACTCCTGAGCTCAAATGATCCACCCACCTCAGTCTCCCAAAATGCTGGAATTACAGGCATGAGCCATTGTGCCTGGCCTTGATTTATCTTATTAGTTAATATTTTCCAGATTGTGACATAATTTGCAAAAACATCATTTTATTTATTTATTTGTGGTCTAAATACACTTTATTTTTTTACTTTTAAATTTTATATTATTTTTGAGATGGGGTCTTGCTCTGCTGCCCAGGCTGAAGTGCAGTGGTGTGATCTCAGCTCACTGCAACCTCTGTCTCCTGTGCTCAAGAGATCCTCCCACCTCAGCCTCCCGAGTAGCTGCAACCACAGGCATGTACCAGCATGCCCAGACTTGTGTCTGGTTGCTGCTGCTTTTTTCTTTTTAAGAGGCAGGGTCTTGCTCTGTCCCTTAGGCTGGAGTGCAATGGTGCAATCATAGCTCACTGCAAGCCTCAACCTCCTGGGCTCATGCAATCCTCCTGCCTCAGCCTCCCAAGCAGCTGGGACCACAGGTGCACGCCACCATGCTTGGCTAATATTTTAAATTTTTTGTAGAGACAGCATGTCCCTACGTTGTCTAGGGTGGTCTTAAACTCCTGGCCTCTAGTGATCCTCCTGCCCTGGACTCCCAAAGATCTGTGATGACAGGCACAATGGCTCGCCTGTAGTCAATGTTTCATCCCATTTTCACAGGGCCATCTTTTTGCCCTGTACTGAGGAGTCCACACACACAGGGAAGTGTGCAGTGCAGGCAGTATGCAGGCGTGCCCTCTGGGGTTTCCATACAACTATCACCTGCATGAAGATGGCGGACATCCACTCCCTGTCCAACTTCCTGGGGTGCTCCCTTCTCATGAGGGACTTACTGCTCCAGAGGGGTTAAGATGGAGCCCTGGGGGAACTTGAGGCAGGGAAGGTGCCTGGGGCAGGACAGAGAAGCTGGAAGAGGTGGTCGGGGGGGCTCTTTTTTTTAGGGAGAAAGAAGGTGGGGTGAGGCCAGCAGGATGCAGGCTGCAAGGCCTGACAGATGAGAGCGAGGAGGCAGAGCTGATCCTGGGGCCTGGTGTTCTACCATCCAAGCCCTTGTGACTGCTGGGTTTGGGGGAAGAGGTGACCTTGCAGGGGGAGGGCACAGGGGCGGGGGGCACGCCGTGGAGTCAAACGTGGAAAGTTTGGCAGGAGTGATGTTCCCGTTTGAGAGGCTGGGACGCCCAGGGAGGAGAGGAGGGAGTGAGGCCACAGTGGGAAGGGAGCGTCAAGGCCATTGCGAAGGTCCCACTGTAGGAGATGGGGGACGTGGTGGCCAAGTACGCAGGGGAGGCAGAAGCTGGAGACACGAAGACACGGAATAACGGGGTCTTCCTGAAGGCCTCATTCCACAGGGGGATGCATACTGGCTGTCATGGACTTTATGTCTGTGTCCCCCACAGTTTTTTTTTTTTTTTTTTTTTTTTTTGAGACAGGGTCTCACTCTGTTGCTCAGGTTGGAGTGCAATGGTGCGATCTTAGCTCACTGCAACCTCTGCCTCCTGGGTTCAAGCGATTCTCATGCTGCAGCCACCTGAGTGGCTGATATTACAGGCTTGTGCCACTGTGTGCGGCTAAATTTTTTTTTTTGAGACAGAGTCTCACTCTGTCACCAGGCTGGAGGGCAGTGGCGTGATCTCGGCTCACTGCAACCCCCACCTCCTGTGTTCAAGCGATTCTCCTGCCTCAGCCTCCCGAGTAGCTGGGACTACAGGCACGTACCACCAGACCCAGCTAATTTTTGTATTTTTAGTAGAGATGGGGTTTCACTATATTGGCCAGGATGGTCTTGATCTCTTGACCTTGTTATCCACCCCTCTTGGCCTCCCAAAATGCTGGGATTACAGGCATGAGCCAGGGCACCTGGCCTAATTTTTGTATTTTTAGTAGAGACTGGGTTTCACGATGTTGCCCAGGCTGGTCTCAAACTCCTGACCTCAACTGATCTGCTCATCTTAGCCTCCCAAAGTGCTGGGATTATAGGCGTGAGCCACCATCCCTGGCCTCCTACAAACTTTATATGTTGAAATCTAATCCTAAGGTGATAGGTTCAGGAGATGAGTGCTTTGGGAGGTGATGAGGTCACTTATATGGGGCCTTCATGAATGGAATTAGTGTCCTTATAGAAGAGGCCCCAGAGAGCTCCCTCACTCCTTCCACCATGTGAGGACACGGGAAAAAACGCCATAGATGAGCCAAGAAGTGGGCCTTCACCTGACCCCAAATCTGCCAGAGCCTTGACCTTGGACTTCTCACTTCCAGAACTGCGAGAATGTATTTCTGTCAGCCACCAGGTCTACATGGTACAGTCATGCACCGCACGGGACAGCTGTCAATGAGGGACCGATGGACCGCATAGATGACGGTGGTCCTACAGATCATAACACTGCACTTTACTGTCCTGTTTCTATGTTTTGATCCATCCATCAAATCTTTTTTTTTTTTTTTGAGACAGCGTCTCGCTCTGTTGCCTGGGCTGGAGTGCAATGGCACGCTCTTGGCTCACCGCAACCTCATCTTCCCAGGTTCAAGTGACCCCTGCCTCAGCCTCCCGAGTAGCTGGGATTATAGGCACACAGCACCATGCCTGGCTAATTTTTGTATTTTCAGTAGAGATGGGTTTTCACCATGTTGGTCAGGCTGGTCTTGAACCCCTGACCTCGTGATCCACCTGCCTTGGCCTCCCAAAGTGCTGGGATTACAGGAGTGAGCCACGGCACCTGGCACCCCATCTTTTTTCTGAGACAGGGTCTCACTCTGTCGCCCAGGCTAGAGTGCAGTGGCATGATGGTGGCTCACTGCAGCCTCAACCTCCAGAGCTCAAGGTGATCCTCCCGCCTCAGGCTCCCAGGTAGCTGAGACTACAGGCATGTGTCAGCACACCTGGCTGATTTTTTGTAGAGAAGGGGTTTCACTGTGTTGCCCAGGCCAGTCTCAAACTCCTGGGCTCAAGCAATCTGCTCACTTTGGCCTCTCAAAGTGTTGGGGTTATAGGTGTGAGCCAATGCACCGGCCTATCTCTCTATTTAGAGACAGAATCTTGGTCTGTCGCCCAGGCTGGAGTGTGGTGGTGTGATCTTGGCTCCCTGTAGCCTCGACCTCCTGGGTTCAGGCAATCCTCCTGCCTAGGCCTTGCAAAGTGCTAGGATTACAGGTATGAGCCACCAGGCCTGGCCTATGTTTAGATACACAAATATTTACCATTGTGTTCCAACTGCCCACGGTATTCAGTGCAGTAACATGCTGTACAGGTTTGTAGCCTAGAAGCAACGGGCCACACCTATTTGTTTTTGTTTTCTTGAGACCAAGTCTTAACTCTGTTGCCCAGGCTGGAGCGCAGTGGCATGATCTCGGTGCAATGCAACCTCTGCCTCCCGGGTTCAAGCGATCCTCCTGCTGCAGCCTCCTGAGTAGCTGAGACTACAGGCGTGAGCCACCACGCCCGGCTAATTTTTGCATTTTTAAATAAAGACAGGGTTTCACCAGAGTTTGAGGCCAGGCTGGTCTTGAACTACTGACCTGAGGTGATCCACCTGCCTTGGCCTCCCAAAGTGCCAGGATTACAGGCGTGAGCCGCTGTGCCCGGCTAGCTACACCTATGTGTAGAGGTATAGACTACTAGTGGTTATACATTAATACACCTATGAGTAGTGTATAACCAACTACACACCTACAGTGTAAGTACGTAGTAGGCTATATCATCTAGGTTTGTGTAAGTTCACTCTAGGATGTTTGCACAACCACAGAATTGTCCAATGACACATTTCTCCCATACTTAAGCAATGTGTAACCACATTCTGCTACAGTAGCCCGAACAGGTTAAGATTTTGGCTGACCACTGAGTGGAGGCTTTTGTGGGGCAGCCTGAAGGGGGAAGTCCTATTAGAAATGTATCTGACTGGCTGGGTACAGTGGTCACACCGGTACAGCACTTTGGGAGGACGAGGCAGGAGGATGGCTTGAGGCCAGGAGTTCGAGACCAGTCTCGGCAACACGGTGAAACGCTGAATCCAGAAAAAATAAGAAAAGTTAGCCAGGTATGGTGGTGGAGGCTGTAGTTCCAGTTACTTTGGAGGCTCAGGTGGGAGGACTGCTTCAGCCCAGGAGGTTGAGGCTGCAGCGAGCTGCGTTTGCCCTCCTGTACTCCAGCCTGGGTGAAAGGGTGAGACTGTTTAAAAAAAAAAAAAGGATCTGACCATGGAAGGCCCAGATACTCCCTTGGAGAAAGGTCCATTCAGCTGCAAAGCCTCGGGCAGAGCTTGAAGCCTAGACTGTGTCTGTGGCTGAGCCCACATGCAGGTCACGCTCCTCAAGAGGGTGGCTGTTTGGGTCATGGGACA